AATAAGTTCACACTAAAAAAAATAAGCAGAGAAAAAATGTAAACTTTACAGAATTTATCAGATCATCATACAAATCACTGTAATGTCTTAATCCTTCTACTTATTTCATATATAATAATGACATAATATTGTAGATTAGAATACAAAATATTAAATGCATTAATTGTAAAATATAAAAAAGGTTAATAAAATGTAATATTGTAAAACACATACTAGCTAACAGATGTATTGACTGTTAAAAAAAATTACACCAAAATAAACTATTCATACAAACTGACAGTTTACATTATCCTATATATTTTACTGGCCAGATGTACTAGCTAAATCCCGGAATATCGATTGCACAAACCTTCTGTTTTTTCTGTTACTCATCTTTCAAATGACTGTTTACTGCTTACTCCTAGAATGTCTGTCTTTAATTTTTGTATTGAGTAGCAAGTAACTACCTTACTCTTCTCTACATCTAAATACATCACACAGACAAAAACTGAAGAATAGTTTTCCATCAGTAACTCAATATTTCAATACCCTCTAATCAAAGTGTTACTCCAAATACATAATTTCTAAAGAGTCAAAACAGCAGACAGACTAAAATACAAGTGTATTCAAAAAGTATTAATGCAGACCACCAGATATATTAACCAAGAGTTTTGGATTAAACTATGAATCAGAACAAATTTCCCAGGATACTAATGTGTTAGAGTAATCTTCAGCCAGTGATTATCAATTTATGCTATCCACAAACAAAAGCCTTTATGTACTGAGTTGAGAGAATGATAAATTATGTTTAATTCATTTATGCATATGCTAGATCAAAAATTTAGCCAAGTCTGTGCATTATATCAATTTGAAATGATGGCTTGAAATGTATGAGAAATAAAATTATAATGATCAGCAAAAGTCTTGCTCACATGGATAAAAGTTGGTAAAGTTACATATAGCTCATCGTCCTGAATTTCATACTACTCATTAGGCCAGATTACATTTTATTTCATTAAATCAACATAGAATTTGTTTGGCCATCAATCACAGTTAATTACATTTTGTTACAATTTTCCATCATTTAATCTTGAAAAGTTGATAAACAAAAATTAGTTATTTATATAAACACTTCCTATACCTACTTCTATAAAAGTTCCTTTAAGTCCAATTATACGAAAACATGAAGAAAGAATTGCCATTCCTATACATTATTAGTTTTTACTTTATGAAATTAAATTTCTTGCAGTTTCTGTTCAAAGCTTTGCTTGTAAGAGTAATCACAATGTTTTACAGCAGTAGTATACTATCCAATGAAGTTTTACTATCCACGTGTACACTACATTTAAAAAGAAGTAGATCCAAGAGTGATTGAGCATTATCATTAATTAGATTAGACTTGTGTTTTTGTTATTTTCACTTTGTTTTTATTTTACTTTTTGGTGAATCAATAGACATTTTACAAAGGTGAAAAAATTTAAAAAAATATATGCTTGTTATTCAAAATACACATTTCCAGTTATTTCCTGTAAAAGTTTATATTTCTTTTACATCACCATACTAACTTGTTTTTGCACAAATTAGTGTACTGTTTATTGTAGTTTTATTATCTCAGTAGTATAATTGTACTAGTTTATTAATAAAAACAGTATTTTCAGTGGTGAATCACCAATTTCTTAAGTATATTATTTTACAAGAATCATCAGACATCTTTTTTTCTATTTTAGAAATCAAACTTGAGAATGTTATGATCAACTAGAATGTTAAGAAACATGTGTTTAATCAATAAAACTTTAATAATTCTTAATAAGTACTTCAAAAATATTCATTTCTGTCTGAAATACACCTTAAAACACTATGAACCATCCAACAGATAGTCTGTAGTTAGAATAGCTTGAAGTTATTCCTTAAAAAGACTTGATTAAAATACCACAGTCTGAACCTACAGTTAAGGGCAAAGTCAACAGTAAGCACTCTGTTGTACAAGCACTCACAATTCAACACCAACAAACATATCTTGTGCATAGTACTGTAACTATGTAATTATTTAAAATGGAAGATTATTTGGAATACTTTTATGATAGTGTACTAAAGTGTATATAGCACGTAATGTGACATACAGACAAAAAGGGACCACTTGGTCCTTCAAGGTTGTCTGTACACACTCACCCTTGAGACAAAGTAAAAACTTACATACACAACTTTATTTTTTGGGGATTTACTAATTCCCCTTTAAACGTTTCTAGAGTGTTTCCCTCGATCCACCACTCCTAACAGCAGCTCATTCCATAAGCTAATTACTGTGTTAAATGGGGGATTATTTAAGCTACTTTTGTAAATAGTTTTCATTCACCAGATGGCACAGAAATTCAGTTACTCAGCAATGAACAGTTAAGATCCTTCTAAATCATTTCTTTAACAAAGCCTAGGTTAACAGGAATAAATCTGGCAGCTTTCAAAATGATTTTTATTGTTGTGCATTTAGGTATGAAAGGGGTAAAGTCAGCACTGCAATTTGTATGGTTTAGTGTACAAGCCCACTGATTTAAGTGACTGCAATGCAAAATAAAATTTATTTGGTAACAAGAAAAGTGGTGTTAGAGAGTATTTCCTACATATAGATAAATCAAAAAATAAATAAATAAAGCTTTCAAGATAATGATATGAACAACTGTAAACAAATGTCCCGTTGAAGTTAAGACACTTTTATAACCTG